TAGAAATCAAAATAAAGCAAAAACCATATTGAGCCATAATTTGCATTATTTATTCAATTAATTTGCATTATTTACCATTTGTAACTATTGCAGCACCCAGTACCACCACAATCAACAGCATCGCTCGAGTCTATGTATTCTGTGCCGGGAGCATCTCACGCTAGTGTTTCCGCTCCTCCAGCTAGTTACTCATCTGAGCATCCTCAGAGTGCACCTGGTAGAAGGACTCCCTTGGGTGCCGTTGGCCTCGGCGGTTTCTATTTTCAGCAACAGCCGCAACCGCATGCTTCATCGAGTGCTCTTTCCGATGAAAACAGACCAGACCAAGAAAGGTATCACAAAAACCACAATAATAATCAATTCCACCTAATCGAGTAACACATTTGTTAATCAGACCCGGAGCATCGAGACTGAATTGCCCACCGAAGTCAAAAACTACTCGTCAAGGGAAAAGTATGCGATTGAACATTAACGCCCGAGAACGCAGAAGAATGCATGATTTGAACGATGCGCTTGACGAACTTCGATCCGTGATTCCTTACGCTCATAGTCCGTCCGTTAGAAAATTGTCCAAGATTGCAACCCTTCTGTTGGCGAAAAATTACATTCTCATGCAAGGTAAGGGGAAATAGCATGAAATACATGCCTCTCAATTAACAATGTATTAGGATACTTGTAAAAACTTGTGTTATTAATTTGTCAAGGATTAAACAATAGTTTATTATGATGTCATAAATACTTCAAATTGTAGAATTTAGGTGCGAGAAATAGCGAATGTTTGGAATTTTTTGTAACTTAAAAATGAATCGCAAATACTGCGTTAATAAGTTAACTTCGGTGCACTTCTATTTGTCGGATTATTCCTTACTAGAACACGTTTTATACAGGCAACGCTTTGGAGGAACTAAGAAGAGTGATAGCGGTTTTACAATCTCCACACGCTCATACTACTGCTTTACCACCTACACCTGTTTCCTACGATTTGTTACACGGGTTCCCAGGCAAATTATTCCAAGGTGTGCAGGATATGCAAGGACTTCCTACGACAGATCCCCAAAGCGTCACAGCAGGTGGACCTCCAACCGATGGTACCGTAGCTAGTGGAGAGTCGAATTAAAGATTCGAATCTTCGTTTCCTCGACTAGGTATAAAGTTGAATCAAATTTTAGAGGATGAAACGAACGTCGGTAGAAGCGTCAAGAAATATTAGAGGATTTCTTACTATACGATTTACAAGATAAATGAGGGATAAGTAGAAGGTATTACTTTTAGCATTAATAACGATTTTTATGAATATTCAATGACACGCAACATGATTAATCTTCCAGAGGACAGAATTTGATAGATTCAGTTTTAACATTAAAACTATAATACGTCTAGCCTGTAAGTTTTGAACGTGAGACTACTTGTTGATGTACAATGAAAGTATTAGATGAAGAAGTATTATTCAAGGGTGGCGTACACTGTTATGAGTTCGATAAACACTGAAGTCAATACTAGTACTTACGGTTGAAGCTCCTAAGATGAAAGTTTATGAAAGTACTAGCAATTAGCGATTAAGAGTAATTACGATTTAAGATTATTAACAAAGCAATAAGTAACAGCATATTTCTGTCTCTGGTATAACAAGAATTGATTATTAATGAGAAGAGCAAATTGTAGTCTAAGATTTTTTCTTATATATTTTCTTCTTCGATTTTGAAATAGTAAATACTGACTGCCAGAGAGAGAGAGATGATGTATATATATAAGGATGAGGAATAAAATTTCCAAATCCCGTCCGGTAACGCGATAGTCAATATAGCATGTGATACATGTCGAGATATTATAAATATATATATATATATAT